GGCAAGTACCAAAAATAAAAGTATCGGTATCGGGCGAGTACTGGAAAAAGTGGTATCAGTGCATCCCTAGTTTCAAGCATCATTTTTTTGTCAAGCAGTAATTTACAGACACAACTGCGGGATTCACTTGCTAAACAGGAGGTTAAACAGATCCAAGACAAATCAGAGAAAATCGTATGTGCGGGTGGTTGGTGGAAAGCTGACAATTTTTTTTTTGCGAATTCGGATGACATTTGAGCTGATTCATGCATCTGTAGTCTGCACTATGTCTATACATTGTTCTGCACTGACATGGAAAACAGAACATGCTGAGGAACAATACTATCAAGACATGGGTTGAACCTCTTATCACAAAGAAGACAAGCTTCGTTAAACCCTATATAATGTTTGACAGTGGCCAGAAGATAACTGTTCTGGATGCTTCCATCGTGATGGGATATAGAATGGACAAGCTGAAAATTAAGAGGTATGGTTCCCCAGAGAAGGCTTCTTCAATAATGACATGGGTAAGATCCATGGCCCCAGTTAAGTACCTCCCGGTTATTATTTCCAGCAGCACATTGCTGTACGGTCCATCAGGGAAAAAATAGTTAACTACTTCAAAAATTTCGGCCTGCAACTCAAGCTAAGTAAGTCTCTAAAGCAGGAAATGGAATTCTAATTTAACAGTACGGTGACATTGCAATAATCCTGTTGGGTAATTAAGAACAGCTTTTACCCCAGCACTATACGGGAGCTGAACGCTGTCAGCGTACACACACACACACAACTAGGGCTGCCCCTAATAGTCGACTAATCGTTAGTCGACCAGAAGAGGCTTGGTCGACCAACATTTTATTAGTCGCAGAAAAAAATTAATTAAAAAAATTACATGGGCGAAGTCATGCAGTCCGTGACGGACAGATCGTTAACGGCTGGTCTATGGTAATACAGTATACATCGACGGGCAGGACAAATGCTCGACTATCATTCATCAACCTCAAATATGGCTTATCATCAGAAATATGTAAGTATTAGCAACTTTACACGGCCGCTCAATCTAATGTTAACCTAGAGAAATGTCTGCTATTCAAGTGTCTGTGGAGCGTGGAAACAGTAGCTCGCTGCAGGACAGATGGAGGCGCCGTTGTTGTGCCCATTTTCGACTCCCTGCCAAATTATTAGCCCCCTCGTTGAAATCGCTACCTGATTGCCTAATCCCAACCCCCACCCCTAATCCTAAGCCCTCCCCCACACCTAACCCTAAATCTACCAATACTAGGGGGGTAATAATCTGGCGGGGGTCAGAATTCGGCACTACACCGGTGCGCTCACTTACTCTTAAAATAATCCCTCATTTTTGGTCACGGATAAGAGTAATACATCTTTCAAATCTGTAAAGACTCTACGTTTATTTGTGTGCACTCACAATAACAACAAAACGTGCTTTTGTAAAATAAGGAAAGCAAACATGATGCGCTTTCTGCCGTCTCGGTCTGTGAACTTGAACGCAAAACTCTGTGTATATCTTTGCCTTACAGACATTAAAAAATATATAGAGAGAGTCTACTTTCAAATGAACCAATTCAAATGGAAAACAAATTCTCAGATTATGTAATCCATATGAAACATCCACTAGTACTGCGGAGTCAGTGTCGCCGAGTTCATCTATTTATCAGTGAATTATTAAAATGTTAATGCAGCCTCCTTACTGTTTTTCCCTGACACATTCATAATCATAGCTTCTGCGGTGCACTGTGGCAAACTTTATGCGTGTACTTGAGCGCTTATTAGGCTATGTATGCAATTAAAGGCTCATTATAATGCTCATTATAAATTTAAATTGTTTATTAATAAACGTGCGATTAGTCGACTAATGCTATAGAAAAGCCAGGGGTAGATGTAATGGGGTGATCCCCTTTAGTGGGTTTTCCTTTCTGTGTGGGTGGATGGCGCTGGGCGGAAGTCAAGTTCACGGCCCCTTTAAAAAGCGCGGCGATTTCTCTTTACTTCCGTTTTCTTCCGGCATGGTATACAGGCTGTATGTTGATCGTGTCGCAAGAACTATTTGATGTGCGTCAAGCATTGAACTTGTAGTCAACGCCACAACCTGTATAAGGTTGGAATTCTTCTCTAACTCTGGGCGTGGGCCTGAGGGTGTTCAACCGCTTCAACGCATTTCAGGCATGATCCAGGCAGTATTGGTGGATTGTTCACCACTCTTATTGAGAGCCAGTTAATTGTGCTGCAGGTAGGTCCTTATATGGTATTTTGTAAGTTGTTTGTTATTTAAAGATGTCATTTTAAAATGTTAGAGTATGTGTGGCTAATGACCAAATCGGGTAATTATTTTATAGAAATTCATCTGTTGCCGTTTTGCTGCTGTGTGGCGGCTTGACCGTGGTTGCACTTACCTCTCTTTTATTGTGTGCAATATCATGCAGCACTTTCTGCTCACCGTGCAAAATTTCTGTGCAATATCTGACTGTTCATTTTGCTGTTACTGTTTGTTTTCTAATTAAATTAGATGTTTAGCTTGCACTAATTTATGTGTGATTGCACTGTACGGATTACTCTAATTTCACTGCACTTTTAGTATAGTGACAATAAAAGAATCTTGAGGTTACCAGGTTTCATTTCACATTTGCTGCTGTTCAGATCAATGAGTCCACAAGAACTGTCATTAAAGAACAGCAGTTAGAAAGTCTTCTCATTGCTTGGCCTACAGTGTGTACTGAGAACTTCCATCATCAGCGATGAAGTCCATCCACTTTCCCATAGACTGCTCCCATCATATTGGTGCCAAAAAAAGAAGCTAGTTTACGCATTTG